TATAATTATTCCTCTGCCGCTAGTTCGTTCCTCGCAGATTCTTCAGTCTCATCAGCCTCATCCTTCCATCAGTCCCAGTTAACGCCTCCAGCACACTTCCAGTGTCTGACTCCATATGATATTGTCCTGATGCTGTAAGGGTGATGCCCCATGATCACAAAATGACCCCTCTAAAGTCTGAGTGCCAAGGACCTCATATTATGTCTGTCATTAATGTTACATCACCCATTATAACAATTTTCTTTCCTTTTTTCTCTTCTCTTAACTGAATAGTCCTGTCTTTAAGTATAACCAAATGTAAAGTCCTTTTCCTGCACCATTTTAAGGCTTCATAACAGGCATGTTTACTGTATGTGTTTGGAGAAATAACACAATCAATGGCCCAGAATTGTACTTTATAAACTATGAATCTTGTGGTGCTTGAAGAAATACAGACGGGTTAAGCCGGCCAGGTTATATATATATATATATATATATATATATATATATATATATATGCCTTTTTTGGAGCCATTTTTTTCAATATTTATTCAAATGTCACTAGTTATTTAAACAAACCACTATCTGAGGATAATACAAGCAACCATAAAACACCCTTTATCTAGAGAGCCATTGAAGCCCATGAAGAATTTATCCTTCCACAAATCTTTTCAACTGCTGTATTAATAAAGTTGCCACGTGTTTTCAAATTCAAGTTAAGGAACTATCTGTGTAAAACATTACAAATATTCTTCATTTGCAGTATTTAAAAAATGTTCAGAAAGACTGCATCAATTATATGCTATATATATTATATATAAATATATATATATATATATATAATATCAATATTGTTATTAACTTAACAAAAATTGGATAATTGCCATGGATGTGGTGTTTGATATAGTTTACGTTCAATTTTAACTATTTTAGGCAGAAAAACGTATATTGACGAAACCTTTTTTAATAATTTACTATAATTTAGAAAGGTTTTTGTGAGAAATCATTTCAAAAGTAAACTTATTTTTCATTTTATATTTCAATTTGAAATGTTTGCACACAACATTATTAATTTATACATTTTTATAAACATTTTAAATTATGAATCCATTAATTTTATTGTATTTCCTTGAGGCTGGGGAAGATATCCAGCATGTGGTTCAACATGTAATACAAGTAAGTATATGTACAACATGGAAAAGTAAATAAAATAAGTTTAATAGGAGGATGTGGATTTATTTTCTCTCACCTTGTAATTACACAATCAAACAATCTATAATTTAGCTCTGACCTTCACAAAAACATTTTGTTGAATTGGACAAATTTTTCCAAGCTCTATTGACAGACATGCAATGACTGGGACTGATGGAAGAATTTGAGAGGAATGAACTAGGAGCAGAGAAATAATCATATTTAAAAGACAGCAGCCCCATAAGAGGCCAACAAGAGTCACAAGGGTGTGTCACTTTGCTGAAGGATATTTGTGACCAGCTATCCAGGCCAGACTCTAAAGACTTTCCAAGGGGTAAAAATGCTGCTGCTGGAGTACTGACTGGAAGTATTGCTGATATCATGTCATATCCTCTTAAAATACTCTGTCCAACAATATCAGTCTCATAAGAAAGGTGTTTTAACGCTTATTCAAAATAGCAGAGAAACATGCATTATTGTACTCAGGAGGGGACATTGACAGAGGATTACTCAAAAAGTACACAGTAAAAGTACTTCATAGTACTTGTGGTACTAGTACTGAGTCCAACAGTGTCAATCTCACGAAGAACTAATGGCAAAACATATTTTTTTCCCTCATCAAACTTAGCAGAAGTGGCTTGATTTTGTTCTCAGGAGGGGACTTTGACAGAGTATTTCTCAAAAAATACACAGTAAAAGTACTTCAATGTATTGTTAGTAGTAGGCTTACTAATACAAAGTCAAACCGTATCAATTTCATTAAGAACTAATGGTAACATTTTATTTTTATCATTCATCAAAGATAGCAGAAAACATGCATTATGTACTATGGAGGGGACTCTGACAGAGGATTACTCACAAAGTACACAGTAAAGTACTTCCTTTTATTTCTGGTAGCAGTCAACTAGTACCGAGTCCAACAGTATCAGTTTTATTCAGAACGTATGGTAAAAAATATTTGTATCACTCATTGAATATAGCAGGAAAGAAAATGAAGAGCAGCTGATTGACCGAGTGCAGAATCGCTGTATAGTTTAAATCTCCTTAGTTACAATGTTGTCCATTTTAGACAAAGGCTTATTATATTTACAGCCCTAAGAACATTCATTTTCTGGGCTCAATATGTGTCTTGGCTGTTTTCTTTGTGATCGCTAAATTCAGATGCTGAATCGCTAGAAACACCGCTGTCATCAGGCTGGCAAGGGCTGTTCCATGCTCTGCTCAACCTCCCGCCTTCCCAATGGACTCAGTAGCGCCCCCTGCTGCCGTGGAGCATGTGTGAGTGAGCATGTGTGAGTGTGTATGAGCACAACCACGGCGGAATATTACTGCCAAAAGTCACGTGAGTGAGTCACGTGACTTTTGGCAGTAATATTCCGCCGTGAGAAGAAAAAGTTTTGTACTTGTAAAAAAAAGTGTTGTAGTTGTAAAAACAAGATTTGTACTTGTAAAAAGAAGTGTTGTAGTTGTAAAAAAAATGTGTGTACTTGTAAAACCTAAGCTGAATTTGTCTCTGAAACATGATTTATTAGAAAAATGGTATGTGTTTATTTGATAGATACGTTTTTTCTTTGCAAAACTAAATGCATTAGTTTGTAGATGGTGTTTTGTATTTGCAAACCACATTGTGTTTGTTAGTGAATCATGAGGCATTAGTAAAACCTGTTTAGTTTGTTTGTGGAGTTATGGCAGGAAATTAGCTCCATATATTCAGTCTAAAAAGTCTACGGGGTTGCAGACTTGCTAAAAATCCTTGGGGAAGTCTCCAGAAGTTCATGCCAGAGCCATTAATCCCTGCTGATACTGCAGTGAGACAGTCCTGAGCCTGGTGGACTGATCCAGGCCCTGCGTTTATTCATCTTCCTCACCTCCACCATTACTCCCTCTTCTGCTACCAGGGTGTCCTTTGAATGAGGCAATGGAAGAAAAGGAGTCGAGTAAAAGAGAGGTAAGGGATAGTGGAGGCTTTTGGAAAGACCAGACAGCTTGCTCTCACTTCAAGGCCGTCCTGACGCTTGGATATTGTGCATTGCTGTCTTGATACCAACAAAATGTCCAATGTTTTTTTGGAAGAGACCTGTTGGAATCATGTTTCCTGCATTCACCTTTTACCAGAGAAGAGCGAATCAGTTCGTAAGGCTTTTTATTCTTAAGATTCCTAGAGATGCTGGAAAATCAGTTATTGCCACAAAAGAAAATCCTGGCCTCCGGGATAAGCTAACATATCTCACAAAAATGAAGTGCTGACTGACGCGAACATGCAGGTCGCAGATTGACACAATTCTTGCTAATAATCGAGAAGTGATGGAGGTCCATAGCATTATTACACTGTAGCAATTTATATGTACATGTTATTGTATTTCTTTTTGACGACCAATGATGGTAAAAGGAGGGAGAGGAGGAGAAAATGGATAAGAAGAGCTATTGGAGTAATTAGTGTTATTTGCCCAAAGGAGTATTGAGTGGAGGAAGTGAATACACTCGGGGATGGTGGCAAAATACATATCTGGAGATGTGAAATTAAACCTTTTGACAAAAAATCCAGCCATTCGTACATTGATTTAATTCTTCCTTTCTTTAAAAAAACAAAACCTCACAATATCACTCTACAAAACAGTAGCACAGCAGGAGGCGCTACAGTGACAGTGTCAGAGTAAACTCTTCCCTACTGAACGTGGTGTCTGTGTATTATTCAAATGAAAAATGATTTATGTCTCAATTTGCCTTCACACCATTTAAGGCATTCCTACTGGTTCATCCCATTTTTGTGTGCAAATGTCTTTCCTTTCTTTGTGCATGCAAGTTACACTATATCACTTTTATGTGTGTGTTTGTGTGTGTGCGTGTGTGTGTGTGTGTGCGGTGTGTGTGTGTGTGTGTGGTGTGTGTGTGTGTGTGTGGCTGTGTGGTGTGTGTGGTGTGGTGTGTGTGTGTGTGTGTGTGTGTGTGTGTGTGTGTGTGTGTGTGTGTGTGTGTGTTTGTGTGTGTGTGTGTGTGTGTGTGTGTGTGTGTGTGATGCTGTGTATTCTCTGTATGTCAGTCTGCGCATGTGCATGCAAGGCATGCCTTTGCCTCCCTGTGTGTGTGTGTGTTAGTCTGCCTAGTGTGACCTGCCTTGCTGTCACGCAATTGCTTTTTGTGAGAGAGAGAGAGAGAGAGAGAGAGAGAGAGAGAGAGAGAGAGAGAGAGAGAGAGAGAGAGAGAGAGAGAGAAAGCTTAATACAAGCTGATGGGTTTTGTCGGCAGGGAGTCTGGACGTCTGCCTGAGAGGGAGACAGGGAGGGAGAAACAGTGAGTGATGTTGGGAGAAGGATTGAGAGGAGCACGAGAGAAACAGGAGCGTAGAGGGAGGTAAAAAGCTAGTGGAGAGAATCCCATCCACACAGGAAGGGTAAAGCTTTATCCTTACTCACTGACTGTTAGACTGAATGAATCCTTCGTCTTCTCTGCCTCTCTCTGTCTTATTATTGTGTTCTCCCTTCTCCTCCCCTGTGTCCTTGTTTCCTCTCATCTGTTTGCACAAGAGGTTAGCAGGTTATTGAGGTTCAGGAACCTTTTTTCGGAAATCTAGCCTTCGGTCAGTTTACCTCTTCATTTGTGAAAACAGACAGCTGATACTTGCTTTCAACTACACATAACACAAATGATAACAACAATGCTAGAGAGTTTGGGGACAATCTGACATTGAGAAGAGAAGGCTGTAAATCAGTTGGTTTTTTGGGGAAGACAGTGTTACTTGAAACATAGGAGATGTAGTCTCTGTTGTCTCTTACATGTCCACCATCAATGAAACAAATACATGAATAAAGACAGATGAAACACGATGGAGTTAAACTATTTTATTGACAGTTGGAATAGAATAACAATACACCAAATTGTGCATTTACTCAACAATATAACAGTTTGCCAAAGAATCTGCAAATACACTTTTTATGTGTGTGTTTTAAATGACAGTGCGGTGAAATGAAAAAAGTTACACCACTTTGTCTCTTTCAATAACACTCAGGTCCTCAAGGCAGTAATGCATGAGCAACACATGGAAAGCAACGCAGATGAGCATTTGCTGCTTAACACTTTGCTAAGATTAGCTTATGCTAGCATTTTTTGAGGTTCATCAAGCGATGAGATGATTGGTATTTAACAATTAAAAAACATTACAGTATACTTGTAAATGGCATTTTGCAATCCTTAAATGGCTTTTTTAAATAAGTCAATGCGTTATCATTTGCTCCAATAAAGTTACACGATGGATCAATGTGTTTAACCAAAGAAATGGTCATAATTAACAAAGATATTGTTGGAAAAAGCTTCCCTTGTAGAATAGGTTTTCCATCAGCATTGCCTCCAAAAGTTGCCCATATCACATGTTCCTGACAGCCTGTAGAACTTTCTCATCTAGTATCCCAGAACCAAACATCACCTTTTTAGTATTTTAGGAGCCTTTCGGATGGCTTATAGAAGTTAAGGCTGTGAATGCTGTAGATAAAATGATCATCAAGACAGAAAAGGAAGATTTGTTTTTGAAGATTTGGGGATAAAGACTAATTGAGTTGACACTATAATGACCAGCAACGCATAATGTGAGAGGTCATTTAACCCGGAATGGTGTTGAGAAACAGAAGTTACAAAACCCCATGTCACTTCAACTCACACCGGTGTCGCTCAACCTGAAAGTGTATTCACTGGAGGTAATGTGGGACACTTTGAATGAGAGAGTACCAGATGGCTTGTGGGTTGGGTTGGGGACGGCCTCTGAGGGGGAAAGTTTGGGAGCAGACTGGAGGAGGTGTATTGCTTTTGGGATCCAGCAGCCACCATTTCCTAACAGAGAATCTGCTTCCACCCTTTCATCCTCCCACTCTTCCTCCACCTCTTCCCCAAGAGAGGACATGATATGATATGTATGTCTAGAAATGCACACAATGTCACTCTCAAAGAAAAAGACACAAATAGTGCCTTCAGATTCTTCAAGCTATTTTCAAGGTTTTAAAATCATAAAAACCTGGCTCCTTAAAGTTTTGAACAGCAGGAAAAAATGACTTAAGCGATAACAGTTTTTGGAATCACAAAAGTCCTGATATATACATCACACAGAATGCAACAAGATAACCTACATTGTCTTGTCAAACATTTTACTTAATGAGTTTGACTGCAATGAACACTGTGCAACTAAAACATGGCAATGACTGGATGTTTTTGATTATTGCTTTACAGAATGTAGCTGATTTGTTTGAAAATGAATACAGTATTAATATCCCTGCAACACTGCTACTGGCAAAATGAGGCCACTTTTGCACAAAAAAAACTTAAATTACTCCAAATTGTATTGTTTAGTTAAAATGTTGTTGACTCGCAAACATTTACGTAAAATTACTCAAAATTGTGTTATATTTCAAATTTGTGTTGATAAGCATTAGACAAATTCAATTTTGTTCAGAATGTTTGCTTCAAAGTAAAAAAAAAACGAACCTTTTTTTCTTTTAGTAATTATACAGCATCAGTAAAAAGCCCAAAAGGAAATGTAGTACACTTTGAATCTGAAATAAATTGCTACATATAAATGTATTCCTCAATTCATGTTGGGTCTCAACCGATACTGTATTTCGTTTCACCTCTTTCTGTGTAGCGTGTAGCTCATGCTTAATCTTATCAAGTAGTCTGCTAATTATTTATTAGTTTTAATCAGTCATGCGGATGCTACCAGCTAATGCTACAATCTTACGGTAACTAGCAAGATATCCCTTCACTCCCTCAAAGATTTAACATTATTAACTAAGTTATTATAGATACACTTTGGCTCACTCCAAAAGACACTAACAACCATAATATTTACACATAAAAAATACATTAGGAATCATAAAGTGCCCAAAAGAAATACATACTGTATACTTTTGTTATTTTTCTCTACAGTGTGCACATTGTGTTCCCTTTAAATTCATCCTATGTTTGTGTCCTTTTTTAAAAATCTGTAAAACCTGACGTCAGTCCAGGCAGATCTTTTGTTTGGATGATGCAAAGTACATTTCATGCTTCCTTCCTCTCTCTTTCCCTTTCCTCCCCTCTCCTCCTCTCTCCACACTGAGGCATTGCATGGCTAATCACCAGTTGCCTTGTGGATTAGGCCTGTAATTTAGAATAAAAGGGATGCTCCTCTGTGCAGCCTGAACACTGCTGTCAGATCTTGTGAGGGCTTGTTTCTGTTCCTCCCTCACAATAGCACATGCTGCAAGGTAATTGAGGAAGAGGAAGGAGAAGACACTTGCTGGTGGGAATTGGCACAGTAGAAACTGTTATTAGCCAAAGCTAAAAAAAAAAAAGAGAGGAGGAATCTTCAAATCTACTTGTAGACTTTAGCTTAAGAGTATTCCAAACTACATTTAAACTGCGATATACAACACGTTTTCAGCCACAGAGGGACAATACCTCCCCCTGCTTTGATGTGTCCTGCACTACCAGGTGGATGTGAACATTAAGAACAACAAAGAACATATTAGAACATAATGAGGACAAAGCACCCTCAACATGTCAGACCCATTTGACTGTTTCATGCCAGTTGTTTCCAGATTGTATCCAGATAAGGATCAACCACATTGCATTCGGACGTACAAGTCACTTGCATCTTCATCTTATACAATATGTTGCATGCATATGTATCTGCCATGTTATCTGCTTTGAGGAATGGCAAGGTACGTGAGCATAACATTATGCACTAAGAAGGCTTCTGGTGACAAGAAACCAATTATTTTACGATATCCTCTGTGAGTTCGGATATCAAACTGTTTGTGATAAGCTGGACATTTGTAGAAGCAAGCAATCATTCAGATTCAAGAAATAACCAAGTAAAATGGGTTTGTCAATCAATATTTCTCAAAACCTACAAAGCTGCTGTTCTCATTCCTACCAAACACAACACTGGCTGATTTATCTAAAAAGCACCTTCAACAAGAGATGGCAAAATAATCAGTAAAATCAGCTAATGTCGCGATTGATTGTAACGAAAATAGTACAGGCATCATGATCTTTGAGAACTTAGAACGTGCTAATGCTGTTTAAAAACATTTATATCCACTCAGGGACCAATTTAGACCTGGCACTAAAGGTCAATGTATTTATCTGAAGTCCTTACTAACTGGTAAAGAAAGAAACTCAGCAGTACTCTGGATCCCCAAGATCCTTCCAGAAGATGCCACCATTCACAAACACATAGTACTGAATGAAGTGAACATTGAAGGGCCAGATGTGTGACACAATAAACGAAAAACAGCTCAACTTGAGTGTTTGAAACCAAGACATCTTGGTTGGTAACAACAAATAAGTAATAATATACTTTTTTAAAGTTCTTTGTAGTCCTGATCCATTCCCCTCGATTCTCGAGCAAAATGAGCGGCTGGTGTCTCCATCAGTCTGAGGGCCGTCTCACTTCCTCTCAGACTCGTGGATGGACATATAGCCAGCTCCTTAGCAGAGAAGCAGAAAGACAACAAGCAGTCCTGGGATTAAGAACCCATTGTAGGCTGTGAAGGCGCGTAGCTGAAGCAAAGCTGAGCCTGCAGTGCATTGTGGTCCCAATAGGATGTGATCGATGTCGGCATACTGAGCCCTCCTTTGAAGTATCCTCATTAAGAAGGGTTTTGTTTTCTCGTCAAAGACATTTTCCTGTGAGTCTGAGAGGCTGTCGGTTGCAACAACAGAGAGATGTGCTTCCTGTGAGTCCCAGGAAACCCTGATACCATATCAAAAGAATTACACTACCAATGAGTGTCAAAAGGACTTACTAGTTAGTAGTCAGTTCCATATCAGGGGATGGGTCCATCCCATGTGTGGTTGGACCTGTCAAAGTGCCCTTAATAAGATACTTTACACCTATCAGCTCCAGCGGCAGTACCACCTGGCTGACCCAGGTGCAGGGCTACAGGCTATTTGAAAAAGTGTCTTAGGATTCGGTCGCAACGGAGCCGCAACAACAAAGCTTGATAATTTCCTTTAGTCTTAGGATCGCTCACAGCAGGGCCCAATGGTGCTCTCTAGGGACATCTGGGAGGAGTGGCGAATGAGGGGCGCCATCGTTGGGTCCACCATGGAGGACGTAGGGAAGAGCTTGTACCAGCCAATCACCATTGTGCTGAGGTCCAGCTCCTCCAATAGGATTCGAGCAACGCCCATGAAGCATTTGCGGTCCATACGTCCATAGTTGCCCCAAACGATCACCTACAGAAGAGGGTGGCAAGATATAAATTAGTGATGTGTTATGAGGCAATATAACCAAAATATTACATTTTTGCATTACCAATTTGCGGTTGTCATAGTAGAATTATGATATGTAAGAATAAATGCTTTTTTAGTACACTTTCTTTTAGCTCTTAAGCTAAATGCTCATTCTATTAATGATAGTATGTTGAAGTTTAGCAGGTATAAAGTAATTTGTACCCTCTTTGTTTACTATGCAAACATTTGCTAGTTAGCTGTAAGCTGTAAATGCAATATACAGCTGAGGCTAATGGGAATGTCATGAGTTTAGCAAGTATTTGGTCTTAAACTAAAGTTTTGGGACTGTACTTTTTTTTTAGAGTTAAACATTTGACCAATGTTAATTTAATATTATGTTTTATTGACAAAAATATGACAACATCCTTGAATAAAAGGTATCGATCATCAAAGTATTGTCCAATTGTTAAATCTACTGAAAGTGGCACTATTGTGCTATTTGGAGCTTCCCCTTTCCTGTAGTATGTTAAAAAGGTTATTTTGCATGTAAATAGTCTGTAACGGTTAAAATCCAAAGGTTTCTCTCCCACACACAACAAATCATTTAATCATTGAAATGTATCTAGTTCTTTAACATGGTTTAAGATAATATTGAATCATGCACATCCTGAAGGTTATGAGGACTTGATATTATGATACATATGATAAGGTTAATACGGTGGAATTAATTAGCATGAATAAATATTGTTTGGAAATCAGTTTTTAAGTACTGTATCCTGACAGTTGTCCTCTCTGTTACAGAAGCAAAGATCCGGCTGTGGTTTCTATTAGCGTAAATGAAGAGGGATTGTGTTTGAGGCAGGGAGAGTAGAACATGTTGGTGGTATGTGCTTAGGGACCTGTGTGTGTGTGTGTGTGTTGTGTACGTTTGGTTTCCTCTGTCTCCTGACACCCTGATAACATCAGGGCTCATCTCAGACGGCCACATCAGGTCAAGCACCAGACAAAAAAAATCAATATCCGTTTGTGTGTCCTCTTGTGTGTCTGAGCATGCCTGCATACCAATTTGTTTGGTATAAGTGTGTCTGCATGTGATTTCCACAGAGACTGAGAGCCAGAGTCTGCCTCAATCTTTTCCCTGAATCTTTAAAAAAGGAGAACCGTTACCCCATTTTTTGTCTGCCTGCCATCAGTTCTCCAAACAAGAAACATGGCTTCAACCATTACAACAGAGACATCTTATAAATCAGGGGTACTCAAACTTTTTTATTAAAGGTCCACTTGTGAATTGTATACAAGGTCACTGGTCCGGATAAAATGCCAGTAAAGTTCCCCCCCTTTATTTTTTTATTTTGTATAATTTTATTTTTTTATAATGGGACACAGGGTTCGGTCCGGATTAATTTGCAGTTCGGTCCGGATCCGGACCTTTTGACCCTGTTATAAATGATACATTTATAGTAGAACATGAAATACTGGCTGAGTGTTTTGTACAGGCAATGAGAAATACAGTGTCCTACATTTTCTAGAAAGTGGAGCAAAAAGACAAAAAGGGACAAAATAAACCCAGCATGTTGCAGTTTGGGATAAACTGGAATTGGAAGAAAGGGTGCTGTAAGAGCAACACCAACAAGTTAGACAGCAAACTTCAATTGTGCTAGTGTTCATATTCTAAGCAGTTTTTCTTGAATAAGTTTTTTATATTTAGTCACCCTAATCCTGTTTGTATCTAGTAATTTGACTTGGCTCGACTGTGGCTGTGAGGTGGTGTAGTCGTCTAAAAACAAGAAAGTTTGGTTTCATTCCCAGCCCCCGCCGTCAACATGTCGATGTCTGGCAAGACAATTTTTTTTTTTTTTTTAATTTATAGGGAGGGATGAAACCCTCTTTAATGGTCACACATGCAGAGCACACAGCACACACAGTGAAATTTGGCCTCTGCTTTTAACCCATCCTAGTACAAGGAGTCTAGTACTAGGAGCAGTGGGCAGCTATTGTACAGCGCCCGGGGAGCAAATGGGAGTGGGGGGGGAAGGGGGGTGTCCGGTGCCTTGCTCAAGGGCACCACGGCAGGGCAGGAGGTGAACTGGGACCTCTCCAAGTAGAAGTCCACACTCCATATTTAGGTCTGGTCGGGGACTTGAACCAGCGACCCTACGGCTCACAGTCCAAACCCCTACTGACTGAGCCACTGCCGAACAATACGCCGGACAATACGCCCCAAGTTACTTAACCTAACTTTGCAAAAATGTTCGGTTACTCTACTGTAAATTCATTAAAGAGCACACATTCTGCTAATTTTCAGTTTCATATATGCATTTTGTGCCCAGGTTTCATACACTTTTTCACCAATGATTTTCAATGACTTTTCCATGACTTCTCCATGACCTTTACCTAATTTTCCATGACCAAAAAAATGACTCTTTCTCAGCGGTACCACTGAAAATGGTTTATTTGAACATGGAACAGGAAAATTAGGTCTGCATCTGAAACATGTTGTGCCTATCTGAAACAAATCAAATAGGCTTACTAGCTTCTACACGCTAAAGCAACTCAAATCTCTCACCAGCAAAACACCTCGTCAGTTAAATGCCATTTTATGTTTCATTACTATACGATACAGTATTTATTATCATTATAGTATTACTATTTCGGCGATTAGCTAAAATGTAAATTATATTTGATGCAACTTTGGTTACATTTCCATGACTTTTCCAAAACTTTGGGAAAAATATTGTTTTCCATAACTTTGCCAGGGCCTGAAATTGCATTTTGAATTTCCATGACTTTTCCAGGTTTTTAATGACCGTAGGAACCCTTTGTGCCCCTACTGTGACATTTCTCCATGCTTTAATGTTCAAAAAGCTCTTTATTTTTCTCATACTGCCTGTGCTGCAGCACCTCTTTTCACCCTCTGTCTGAAACCAGAGCCCAGTCTGCTCTGATTGGTCAGCTGGCTGTCTCTGTTTTGATCACAAAAGCTAAACTACTGCACAGATTACCCTTGCCAGTGGGAGCAAATATTTAGATTTGTATTTAAATGGGTTAAATTCAGAAATAATTGTTGCTGTTAAACCGTAAAGGCTGGTGTGGCTGAGCCTAGACTATAGAATCGATAGAGACTACTTCATATTCTCTGCATGTCTCTATCTGAGCCACTCACTTTTGAAACCAGAAACTCCCTCTGGTTAGAAGAGACCGAATAATATAGAATGATGGGAAAGAGATGTAATAGTGACACATTTTGAAAAAAAGGAATGCAATAAACCCTGGATTTGCAGCTTTTCCCAGCACTGAAAATATACTTATGTGGACAAAGAATTTCAACGGCTGTCCCACATTGAGGGAAAACATTCTCAATAATTACATGGTTACTAATGCTTAGTGGAATACTTATATCTGATTCCCTCAGATATCAGGATAAGCAAACATTTAACTCACACTAAGCTCAGAAAACACAAACCAAACACTTAAAATAATTAAAAAAAAAAAAAAAAACGATATGCCTGCCTGTTGTCAGAGAGGATGAGATACAAGAGAAAATGAGATGATGAGGGGAAGGTGGCAGAGAGTGCAGAGCGGAGGATGAAGACGGACAGCCGATAATTAGAAAGGAGGCGTTCAGTGACTAATTACGCAGTGACAGCAGCTTCAGGCTGACAGTGAACACACAGAGCTTCAAACCTGCAACCTTCAGAACCCACTGACATGACCTCTGTTTACCACACACACGCAGGCACGGCAATTGTATGTGTTAGTTGCTCATGATAGACAACATTTCCTGGAAATAGGACTTGAACTTTGATCTTTAAAAACCCCAAGTCCACTCAATGACACAAAGTCACACTGACCTCAATGCAAATTACTGTTCCCGCCTGCAACCCAGTTTTTCTATAAGCCATTTGTTGGTAGTTTCACCTTGTGATATATCCATTTCACCTCTTTTCACCCTCCCTCTGAAACCAGAGCCCAGTTTGCTCTGATTGGTTAGCTGGCCGGCTCTGTTGATGTCCCGCCCCTTATCACGTACAATGTGTTGGAGCGCTAGCCAATAAATGCACAAGTGTTTCATATTGATGTCACTATGTTATGGAAGTTAACAAAGGAGTCCAATTGAGGAGTTTCAACCAGGGTGTGGGAGAGAAACTCCCTCTGGAGGGAAAACAGGGATATTGGCCTTTGCACACCATTTACATGCACAAAAACCTCTATAACACACTATGGGAAAGGGAAAACCCCAAAGAGCATAAAAGGGCCTCTTTAAAAGCAAAACCAGGAAGTATAAAGAGTGAAGAAGTCAACTGAAGGAGGAGGTTTGGTTGGACAGGTTGGTCAAAGAACAACAGACCATCACCTAGGAGACCATGTCTCTGTCCAGTGAAACATTTTTTTGTCATATCACTTCTGTACCTTATTAAAAACGCTTTCTTTTTACCCCAAACGGTGACTTATTTGTCAGGTGATTTACATCTGTATTCAAAATCAAGATTTAAAAAAAAACCTAACCAAGTTGTTTTTTGTAAAAACAGAGGTTTATTGAAATACTGTTTGTATGTGAAGTGTATCTTGACACATGATTCTGGATACCGATTGTATTAAAATGACTAATAACCTTTTTAAGATGTCTGAGGATACACTGTCTATTTGGATGAGCACATGAAAGCTTGAGACTCAGTTGATGAAGGATCCTGAATGAATGTTCTGTGTGTACTTAGGGAGCACTCTGCTGTGCTAAACCAGGAAGTGACAGATTGAAAAGCGCTGCTGATTTCAGCGGTTTTCATTATTGTGAATGAGTTTGATGGAACTCGGAGGACAGCAACGCAGACAGCAAATAATTAAGAGGGAGGCGTTTAGAGGCTAATTACACAGGAGCAGAGCTGCAGGCCTCCACTGAAAACAGGACACCACTGTTCCACCTGCAGAGCCCTGAGGAACCTGAAATACTATACAAGTTCTAACATATGTCCATGTTATGAAGGTAGATATGGTGCACAATGCGAGAGCTTGTAAAACCTGATGAGCACTTGCAGAAAAAAAATCTGAGCTTGTGTGCATACATTTACACTTGTATAAAATATCCACGTATTTGTGAACCAAATTTGAAGTCACAGAAGAAAAAAAAAGTTTTGTAGCTTGTAGAAAAACTTAGTGGTGAAATGTTCACTTGTAGAAAAATATATATTTTTAAAATATATTTTCCATTACAACTGCAACTTGGTTATTCCAACCTCTCAAATCAGTCATTACAACTTCACGAATCTGCTCTGGCAGTTTAAATCGACGAATCTGCGGCCTTGACTTTTGCTACACTTCTTGCGATGAATGTGTCGCTAAAGTAATTTTCACCTGTAGATGTGGGGGGAGGGAGGGGGGTTGGAGCGAAGGGGCGGAGCTATAAGAACGACGAGGCGCAAGCTCGGGTCAGTCACACGCAAGTGACTACTGTTGCCCCTGCCCCCTTTCACACCAACGCAGCTCCCGTTCTAGGTCCGTGCTTCGCTCACAACAACAACTATGGGGGACTGCGTCGGGTCGATGATCGTGTTACTTTTAATCATACGAAGCCAGATTAAATTAAATAACTACTTCTACAACCTTATACTTTTCTCCAGAGTGCCGTGGTTCATTGTTTATTAATGTGTTACAGCGGCATTTACCGACCGCTGCAGTGCTGCTCTTCCACTGGAGTTTATTCTCTCGTTAACTCACGGCAGCGGCCGCTGTAAAGTATTCACTGTCTGACTGTCACACAAGCAGCTGATAAAGATCCCCAATTCCCCATAAGTGAATGTGTTTCAGTTTGAATTGACGCTGTTAGGCATCACAACGCTGTTATGAAAGTTTCTCTGGTATAAAATGGGTGATGTTAGCATAGCAACCGAAGCTAAACTGACTATATTGACTAGGCTACTTGTTGCTTGTTGCTATAACTTGTGGCATAAGCCGTGTTCTACAGGCACATTTTACCGGCGTATTTTTCATTATGATTCTACTTGTGATAGTCGGACATGACAACCTGTGCAGCCCATGTATTGATTCCATCCGATAGCTGCTATAATACAAAACAAAACGTCTGCCTGCTCTCCACAATGATCAATAACAGCGAACGGATGGTCAAAGTAAGGTACAAATAAACAGATTCACACGAAGCCTGGTTAGTGTTGCCTGACTTTATAAAGTGTGTTTTTTTTTACATGTGTGTGGTTGCGTTCTAGTCACTTTGCTCAGCGCTACTGCTTGTTTCAACTTTGCCGTACTCTCCATAAACTGTTAGTTCAGGTTAATCTCGCCCCCCTCCGACGTAAGCGTGACGTATGCGGTTCTTGCCTCTAGACCGACACTTTTTTCGAGCTTGGTAAGAACCGGTTTTCGGGGAAAAGAGCCGGCTCCGCTGCGGCGTGAACAGGAAAACCGGTGCTTATCAGGCTCAAGCTCCGGACCGGCCCTGGAACCGCGTTGGTGTGAAAGGGGCAACATGCGGGGCCCCGCAGTCATCCGGTTCGACCTGACATGGCTGTGTGACCATTGTGTGACTGACCCGAGCTTGCGCCTCCTCGTTCTGATAGCTCCGCCCCTTCGCTCCAACCCCCCTCCCTCCCCCCACATCTACAGGTAAAAATTACTTTAGCAACACATTCATCGCAAGAAGTGTAGCAAAAGTCACTGCCTCAGATTCGTCGATTTATACTGCCACAGAGCAGATTCGTGAAGTTGTAATGACTGATTTGAGAGGTTGTAATAACCAAGTTGCAGTTGTAATGGAAAATATATTTTAAAAGTTTTTTTTTTTTCTGCAAGTGAACATTTCATCACTAAGTTCATTTTTTTTCTACAAGCTACAAAACGTTTTCTTTTCTTCTGTGACTTCATATGTGGTTCACAGATACGTGGATATTTTATACAAGTGTAAATGTATGCACACAAGCTCAGATTTTCTGAGTGCTCACATCAGGTTTTACACGCTCTCGCATTTTGCACCATATCTACCTTCATACATGTTGGCGTTAAGTTATCTTTTTTAGTAATCTTGTAAAGTCAGAAAGTACAAAATGTATGTCAAAGACTCAAAAGATAAAGAATGGAAGAGGAAGACAGAACATTGAGCACTTAGGAATGAATTGAAAGACACAAAGGATGCAAGGTGGTACAAAAGGAAAGAGGCTTAACAAAGAGGGATGGATAGTCCTACTGTTAATCCACCAAAATAAACATGTATATGCAGAAGCCAAATGGGTGGGTTTGTCTTTTGGGAAAGGAGTTTAAGAGAGCAAAAAGTAGAGGGGAGAAAGTACAAAAGAAGCAATGAAAAGCATAGTAAAGGATGGAAAAAAGGGGATTTAAAGAAAAGAGTGCCAGGGAAATAAGAGAAAGTAGAAAAGGAGAGGAAATAAGTTAAAGAGCTCAGAATCCGCTGTAATGGTCAATCTCTTTGTGACTCTTTTGTGACCTTTGTGATCCTGAGAGTAGCTGAAGCTCAAACAGCTGAAAGAATCAAATCAGCTCAAACCGCCTCCTGGTCCCTCAGGTCACATTCTCACTGTAAATGTCAAACTCCTCTTCTGCTGTGACGGCTCCACACCTCCTGAACTTTATCTACTGTCACACGAAGACAGCCGAGACTAATCTATAACATTCATTATTCAGCATTATTGTGCTGAAACTCCTCCTTTTGATCATTTATGGTGATAATCTGGTGAGATTGGTTAGAGATTGTTTTTATGAACCCTTTGTATCTAACTATGGATGACAATGTAACCCTGTCGGTCCGTCCAATTTGATAGACTCCACAACTCTTTGATGTATTGCCATGTTCCTCAGATGATTAGTCATTATGACGTTTTCACTCACGTAGAACTCCATCCAGCTCCACTATGAGGGCAAAAGTGTATTTACTGCAGTATTTTTGGCTAATTAGTAAATACCTGCAATCAAACATTACCACTACAGCCTCAGATCTCATTTGTGTCTACTGCTTGGTAGCAGATGTAAGCATGCTAACACTGTAAAATAACTTGGTACACACAATTGCCTTAATAATGTAATGTAAAACAAACAGGGCTAACACCTGAAAACAAGTTTAAAATATGTTTTATTTCATAACCATCTACTTTTTGGTTAGTCTTTGTTGTGAATCAGTGAGCCTTATCTCACCTGCACCACTTTCCCCTGTGGGCTCTCGGAGAAGACCAGGGCCTGGTTGTAGAGAGGGTCCAGAGACTTCCTCACTGACTTGGTCTTCTTCTTGGCCACACAATTCCCGTTCTCCAGGAGGTAAACCTTGATGTAGGCCGCTGAAACGATAGCAGTCCGAAAGGTTAAACCTCAACTTACCCCTTCAGAGTTATCTGCGACGCCCTTACACATTGAGTCATCAGCAACTTTAGAGGTTTATTCTGTGAGGTTTAGAGCTGGTTTGTTTGAGATTGCAGTAGAGTAGAACACGGTACAGTTCATTTTTATTATTTTATTTTTAGTTTAGTTCAGTATAAAAGAGTAAAATGCACAAGGTCAGTAGGAGACTAGAATAGAGAGGAAACTCTTGAGGGAGTGATTCAACCTGCAAGGTGAGGGTCATGTGACGGACGGGGGCTCCTTTCTGGTACCCTGGCTGGCTGCTCTGCAGGGTTATCACGGTTGTGGTACAAACCTTGTAGCTTGCACTCCAGAATTAAGTGAAGAGGTACAATACAAGACTGTCCTTTAAACAAGGGTAAACATGTCTGTTAATGCAAAAAGGAACTGTCAGCCACAGATTATAAGACAAATACAAAAGAAGACTAAGCTAACCTTCCTCTACAAAAATCTAATTTTACCCACAAGTATTTATGCAAACTTTCACAAAATTAAACACAGTTCCCTTTAAAACCTCCGCTAAGGACTCTCTATGCGTTTGTCTGTTTTTTTTTGTTTGTATTTAATTTATGTCAGCACATTCAGTAATACTACCGCTCGGCTTTTTTATAAAACTTGGAGGAAAGGTAATGCATGGACAAAGGAGTAACCCCATTAAATGTCCGCATTAATCCAAATTACAGGGTGGATGGACATATTATGTTTCACTTTTGTTAACATTGCGGAAATAGATCATTTCTGCTGTATTTTTGTTGTGTACTAACAATCTAAAACAATATTAACCTTTCTTGAAAATATAGGTCTTTAAGTCGTGACAGCTCTAAAACAGATATCAATGAGTTGTTTAAACGCTCCAAGCAATAAAATACAACACATCTTTTTAGAATACACGTTGTTACGACCCTTTAACTGTCAAAGAGCACAATCATTGACCCTTGTCTTCTGAGTGCCATTCTGATTATGAATTACTAATAACCCAAACACTTTTGGAACAAACACTCAACACGAGGCACATTTAGCTGTGAGGTAGTGGGGTCGTCTTTCAATTGAAAGGTTGACAAGATACCTTAACCCTAATTGCTCCCGATGGCCGATGTGCCACCTGCTTCACATCTGTATGAATGTGTGTGAATGCTGACATATTGAGGGGTCGTAAAGATAAAGCACTATTTAAATACAGTATCTAAACAACATTGACGAACATTATTCAGGTTGGTTGCAGAGTCATTGTGATAGCTCATCGGACCGCTAACTTGGTTTGGTGACGCTCCATGCAAATGGTTGAGCTTTCAGTAGAGCAGACAAAGGCAGAGTCGAGAGGATTTTGGTGCACTTGATGAAACAAAGTTCATTTGAAACCATTAGTTTCTCTGGTTATTTGTGCAGAAAAACCCTCAATGCCCAAGAAAACATCAGACTAAGTAAAAATGAAAAACTGACTTTATGCAAACAATGGCTGTCAGCATCAGATGTTGTACTACGAAAAGGGGTCGCTCCCTCCACAGATACAAAGCCTTTCCTAGATCGTTTTTTTTTTAAACTGCATTTATGATTAAATGTCCCAGTATGAAACATTGTTGCTAGGTAACAGAAGCCAAAACTATATTAGAGGCCAGACTTCTGACTTTGACTGACTGACACACACACCCGCACGCACACACACACACACACACACACACACACACACACACACACACACACACACACACACACACACACACACACACACACACACACACACACACACACACACACACACACACACACACACACACACACACACACACACACACACACACACACACACACACACACACACACACACTCCAAAGCTTTTTGTCCCTTCTTTCAGATAACAATATTACAAAGAAATATGGAGCAAGGTTGTCCTTTGTTTTTAGAGACTATATGGATTTCATTTAATCTCTTTGTATCTCTCGGTTTCTCTTCAATGTTTCACACTTATTTGCGCCGTTCGTTTCTCTTTCCTCCGACTTTTGTTTGTGCTTTGCTCTGTTTATCATCCTCTTATCTTTTATCGCTCTCTCATAGTTTTTCCCAGATGTTTTTTTGATGTTCCTTATTTGCTGACATTGTTTGTGTTCTTATGTAATTAGGATCAATGAATGGTTTAATATTATGCAAGCGAGTGGAGCTATAATCAGATTAATAGTTTGTTGTTACACAATACAATTTGCAGCATGATAAAGATTTAAAAAAAGAACAACCATGAAGACATCATGCCTTCATGCTTCAATTTTTTTGGGCCATTGCACATCACTCACAGAGTAGAAAGAGATAAAGGTTAACTGAATAATTAATTAACTTGCTTATTGCTCGCTTGATCGATCTAGTGCCAGGGTGATTTATTGCTGGGCGGACAACCCATATTAACAGCTCACGTACAATCTGATTATGATATATTTAAGGTGCACTGATGCACAAAGCTGAGAGTTAGATGTAGTTCGTATGGGCCGGTGTCCACGTAGCGCCTTTTGTTCGCAGCACCCACCATCTTTTTTTCTAGACGCGCCGCCTTTTTTGTGCGGCTGGTCTGAGCGCTCCATGTTGAAATATTTAAACTTTCCAAAAAAAAACTGGTAGAAGTTGCATGAAAAGCTTGTTTGGGCCTTGTCGGTCCGACAAAAACGATCATAACCGGATGTTGCTGCCGGTGAGTTTGTGTCTTTTATCGTCCCCTTCCCTCACTATAGGGCTGTCAGACAGAGCAGTGACAAACTCATACATACAAAAAAAAAATAGCACGAACAGATGATGAATCCATGCCATGATACGATGACATAGATAATATAAAAGCGCTGTTTTTTATTTATTTTTAACTTTTTACTTGTCCCCAGCGCCCTGCCACTGCCTTTCTACCGGAAAACATGTGGACGCAGGCAGAAAAAGTGTGTTATTATTGCACCTCTCCAATAACTCCACAAAGTACTTTTAAATGATTAAACAACATGCAAGAACAAAAGTACCTATTCTTATTAAAGTTTTTAAACATTTCAGATTCTTTGGTCTGTGATGTTTTTTGGTCGTAGATGGAATTATAGCTAGCAAGTTATTTCCTGATTGTTGTACGATCAATTTCAAAGCATTTTTAAAACAACCTTCCTGACCATATTTAACCTTGCTGATAGGACATTTTTAAGATACAGATACTACAGAGCAGCATATAAAAATCAGAGCAACATGCTGCCTGTTTCTCTGCAGTAATGTAGTTATTATTAATTATTATTAATGTACTTATTCATCAGATCACCTCCTTCTGCTCTGTGTGTTAACTCCCTGAACACTGGAAACACAATTTCCTCCTTGACACTCATGCATCTTTCATATCATAACTGTGTTTTTGTAGGATATATCCCAATAGGTTTTAAATGTCAGCTGCAGGCGGGTCTGTTTGTCAGGAGCTGATGCTATTTGCTGTCTTGTGGTGCATTCATGTTCTGTGGAAACCTTGATTACCTAAGACATAGCTGACACTGGATGAACAATAGGGTAAGACACCAAATGTAATTTGGTGCTTTGAGCATCTGACGTTTTGAGGAAGAAAAGTGACTTCCTGTAGAAAACAATGCTTTTGATTTCTCTGAAAACACCATTACAGTTTATTACAACACTTGTGAAATAACACTTTTGTACAAGGTATTTTTGTTATTACTGGCTGCTACTTAAATACTTTGCTGCTACTTGTTTTGTTTATCCATGTGTAATTTATTGCATTATATCTGCACGGTGCCTTCGCTGTAACAATGTACATGTACAGCTTCGGGACGGATAAAGGGTTTCTGATTGTGATTCTGATGGTGGTGTGTTACCTGGAGGTCCCTTTGAACCTGGTTTCATGGTGAGTCCTCTGGCCTGGATGACCTCCACTTCCAGACCTCCATTCCTCTCCAGCAGACCGATCTCTATGTCACCTGGATGGATTAAAACAAAGTTGCACTTTAAAAATGATGTTTTAGGGAGTTGAATGTGTTTATCATTAGAAGTTATTCAAAATGCATGACCTCATATGGTGATAAAGTTCTGTCGGAAAGATAAGTGAGGACAAATTGTGAAAAACAGTAGTATGCTGGCATTATAAACCAATAACCCGTTTCCATACATGCGTTTTTGCATCAGAGCCTTGTTAATTCAAAGAACAAGCAACTAAATATGCAACCGCTTCTTCAACAAATTCCATCACTGGAAATAATTCAGATTTGAAGGAAAAAGGTTTGGATGGGTTTCTATGAAAGGTTTTAGAACTAGAAAAATCTGTTCGCGTGATACTCATTAAGTATGAGATGTGGCTCCACCTGGGGTTTTGAACACTTAACAATGATTTTAATAATGAGTGACAGTATTTGAACTTAAGAATACATCCTTCAAGTTGTTTTCTGCAGACTGCAGAGACCTTTTTGAGATGGACAGGAAAAGAGCAAATGTTGACAACTAGAGAAGTCAAAGATGTCACAGTACTGTCTAGAGAGCACATGGCACTTAGTTGTTGTTTTTTCATCTGTTATGCAACCTTGAAGCACTTCAATGTCTGTCTATAGTTTTTGAATTAATAAGACGAAATTAATAATACAAAATAACCCTTTCTTTGTTGCGCGTCTCTCTCAGGTATGTGTATTGATACATTAACATCACGTGAGTCTTGGTTTAATTAACTTGAGCCTGCTTAAAATAAATAGGAGTTTGTCATTCATTTTAGCCTCTTTTGGCTCATTGTTTTAATTTCATCTTAAGTTATCGCACGGCTACAATTGTAAAACTTCCAATGGCAGATTTTTATAAAATGGCGGCCACTTCCTCCTTTGATTATATTGGAATTCTAAAAAATTCTATTTCCATGTGGTCTCAACACACACTAAGAAATTGAAGGGTTGACTTTTATTAAATGTACTATGTCAACAGATTAATTGTTTTTATTATTATGTTAGTTGTAAGCAATAATAATAATTTGAACCTAATATTTTGTATTTAAACTTAATATTATTGCTTTCAACTAACCTAATAAAATTATGTGTAATCTGTTTACATAAAACATTTAATTAAAGTCAACATTTCATTTTTGTTCAGTCCACCTTTGTTTCCAGCTGCATTACCCGCTGTTCATAGCCATTAAAGAGAGTAGTGTGCTATTTTCCACTCACTGGAAAGTTTTCAGCAAAATATTCCCAGAATGACGATTGCATTTCTTTGAAAGTGACAGATGACAGCCAAGTTATTCTTGGTCCTCTGACATCAGATAAAGTGGGCCTGGACAGCAGGTTTGGAGCTGAGCGGGTCCAGCCAGTGCCACTGTTGTCGGGCCAAGGACACTCTGGCTGCCAGCGAGGAAACTGACCCACTTACATTAGATCACTGCTTTGGAGGACGGGCTGTATACAATAAATCCACTATACGGCCTGGATATGAATAAGTGCAGGGGTCGATGAGAAACACCCTGAGGTGGAACACAGCTCTGATTTACGAGGCACTTTTTTTGCCAGTGTGCAATGATTTCAGCAGTTTTATGAGGAAATAAGCTGTTTTCTTTTCAATTTAAAAACGTGTTTTTAATGGGTAGAGTTTGAGAGGATTTTACAAAATAGAGGGTATAGTTGTGACCCTAGAATGTGAGTAATTTCCTTCCTTACTTAGAGATAAGAAAATAAAGACAGATGGATTAAGTTTTTGCGGAAGCATCAGAGATGAACTGATTAGATGCCGTTGTTGCTCGAAGGGAAAAAAGGCTTTGTAAAATGTTTGTAACAAAGATATTCCTTTTCTAGAAAACACAACATTTGCGAGATATAATGTGACTTCCAGTGTAAAGGGCCACTTATGGTCTTCTGTCCGAATATGGATACCATGATAACATGATTTGTTGAACTGGTACAGACAGATGATGACATCTCTGTCACCTCTAGTCTTTTCTCACCCATGGATGTTGTTGCCAGCGTCTGTCGACCAACAAACTGAGCCGGTCCCATCCCATCCAGGAAGTCGCTGAACTGTGCATCCGACGCCAAACACATGCCACTGTAGTTCAGGCTGCAGAGAGAGAAGGAGGAAGAGACAGGCGGTTAACATGACCAGACAATTGACTTCAGTTAGCTAGAGAAGGTGAAAAGCCAAATTAAAAACAGTCTGGATGAATAAGAAGATAAAAACAGGAAGTGTACAATTGTGTTAAACCCCGAAAATTCTAATTGGCTCCCCAAACCCAGACTGTTGGCTTCAGAGTTTGACCCCCTGTGTCCTTGTTTTGTGTGTGTTTGTGTGCGTAGACATAGAAATCACCGCTGAGTGCTTTGGTGGAAGATTGCCAGGGATACTACAACTGTTGAAGTGTGTGTGTGTGTGTGTGTGTGTGTGTGTGTGTGTGTGTGTGTGTGTGTGTGTGTGTTTTCAACGGAAGGACAAATCCACCCTGACATGTTCTGATGCTGATGTCTATCGTCAATCTGTGATGCTCAACATGTATCTGAACCAAGATGGCACCCACTCACGGTAGATTACTGTTTACATTTGGAGCTTTGCGTTATGCTTAACAGGAACTTCAACCAAGGTTTACACTAGTTCAGCTCGTTAGACTTCCTTTCAGGGTGTGTGTGACGTGATGGATTAATTGGCATACACCATAGTTATACATGCAGTATACCTCACTTGTTCCTTTCACTTGTTAATTCTGTCTGTACTTGAAAGAAAGGGGGCGGGGACAGGTGAAAGTGATTGACACATTAAGGAGGCTGCTATACAAGCTGCCCAAACCATGCCCATTATTTCAAATTTATTTAGCAAGTTATGTATGCACATTCTGTGCCTTAAAATGAATCAGCTCTCATCTAGTGCGCAGAAAAGAGGAAACAGGTTAATGTGGAGTTGGATAACACGTAAGGTCCAACAGCCAATGCCAATGCATTGTGTTCAAGTTTGGCCCCCAGCCCTAGAGAACACAAGGCTAATCAGCTTAAGTGTTCTCCATTGCTTGGGGTGCCTGGATGTTGTAACTTTAGATGTATGAAAATAACTTTATACAGCATTGTAGGTGGGGCCCTGTTTATTCCTGTTACGTGCCGCAGTTGGCTTTTGTGTGTGTCTCTCTCTCTCCCTGATTGTCTCCAGGTGCAGCCTCTCCCCCAGGTGCTCCCAATCCCCAATCAGGGCCTCCTTAAAGGACCTGAGGAAGGCTGCAGTGGCCTCTCTCCTTCTCCTCTGGCTGCATGGGTGCAGCACGGCGTCTTCGTCTCTGTGTGGGACCTGTGTTTTATTAATTACTAGGATATGTGTTCCAGCATATATTGGTACCATAGTTTACTTTGCAAGTTGGCTGGTGAGCCCGTTTTCTGTTTGTCTATATCATTGGTTGATTAAACCTCATTTTGTGGCTTCAGAGATCAGTTTCCTCTCTCTTTTCTCGTGCCTGGTCGTTTCTGTGTTTTGTTACTCTCCTTCGTACCCCTGGATTTGGAGGGAACGTAACAAATGGGGGCTCGTCCGATCTTTCAGACAAAGAGTGAGTATTTGTTTGTTTAGTGTTGATATTGTGTTTGGTGGTGAGCAGTAGTGTGTGTGTGTATATAAGTGTAGCATTGGCTGTGAAGTCTCTTACTGTTTAACAGCTTCCTCCTATTTTCGGGGTAATCCTGGGTGGGGATTTAGTCCCTGTTGGGGGCAGGCGTTTCAGGGTTTCGGCCGCTGATGTTTGCCTTTTAAAGTCGCCTCGAGCCCGGCACGCTCCAGAAGATAGGTAGGTAAGTTGTGGTAGGCAGGATCTGGGGAAGCTTGTTATTTGGAAGAGTCAATGTTTGTGTAGCCTCAGATATTTTGCCTATTGTTTAGTGAGGTGATTTAAGTGAGTGTTGAAAATTAGTTTGTGTGTTTTAGTATGGCCTCCCTTGTGTTGGGTGAGTCCTCTCATACTGGTTCTAAATTAGATGCCAGGTTGAAAGTGAGGTTAGCTAGTCTCCAGTGGGAGAAGGAGCGTGAGCGAGATTTTCAGCTCATGAGGGAGCTGGAGATCAGAAAGTTAGATGCAGACACAGCTTTCAGGATGCGTCAGCTAGAGCTGCAGACAGGTTCAGTTGGTACCTCCTTCGGGTACACAACCATTGTCAGGTTCTACTACTGCTTTTGATGTTGGTAGCAACATTCAGCTGGTCCCTGTCTTTCGTGAGTCAGAAGTGGAGACCTTCTTTGGTGCATTTGAGCGCATTGCTGCTGCTCTGCGCTGGCCAGAAGATGTGTGCGCCATACTTGTACAGTGCAAGCTAGTCGGCAAGGCTCAGGAGGCTTGCTCTTCTCTTTCTGTCGAGGATTGTATGGTGTATGACAATGTGAAAGGTGCTGTTCTCAGGGCATATGAGCTTGTGCCTGAGGCCTACAGGCAGCGTTTCCGCAGCCTGAAGTAAACTTCTGGCCAGACTTATGTGGACTTCGCGAGGGAGAAGAAAATCCTCTTTGACAGGTGGTGTAGAGCTTGTAAAGCGGATGACATTACCTTAATGTGTGAACTAATGATGCTGGAGGAATTTAAAAACGGTGTACCAGAGCGTACTGTAGTTCATTTAAATGAGCAAAAAGTATCTACCCTTCAGCAGGCTGCCAGATGAGTTTGCACTTACACATAAAAGTGTTTTTTCTCAGCGTGATCCCCCTCATCAAGAGCGTGATCCCCCTCAGCGAGATTCTTACCATAGAGCTCGTGACGCATACGTCCCCCGTGCCAGTTTTCCAGTATCAGGTCCCAAGCTAGAAAAGCCTTGTTTTTTTTTGTCATAACCCTGGTCATTTGATAGCAGACTGTGCAGCTTTGAAGCGAAAGCAGGCTGCCACTATGGCGGATGTGGAAGGGATTGTGCTATCACACAGTGGTGTTTTGGCTCATAGCAATTCTCCTCATCGTGTTGGTTTCCGGAAAGCTCGTAACAGGCGTGCCACACATGCTCATTCTGTTTCTCTTCCAGGACCCAAGGAAAATAGATTGTGTTTCTTTTGTCTTGACCCTGGTCATCTAGTGGCAGAGTGTGTAGCTCGGAAGAAGCAGGTGGCAGCTTCCAAGTGGTCTGTGGAAAAGCCAAAAGACCGGCACCCAGTTGAGATGCGACAGAGTGGTGAGTTGCAGTTAAGTTCTGCGTCCGTCTGTGACAGTGCTGTGGGTGTTCCCGTCTCTGAAGCGGTGGGTGTGGACCTGGCTCAGAGCAATGGGGATCTGTGTTCAGTGAGTGATGTGTGTATTCCATGTGATGTGTGTGTTCCATGTGTTGCTCCGGTGTTGGCTGCTTGTGGGCAGTATAACGTGCGTTTTATGGGGGGGGTGTTACGTGCCGCAGTTGGTGCTTGTGTGTGCTTTTGTGTGTCTCTCTCCCTGATTGTCTCCAGGTGCAGCCTCTCCCCAGGTGCTCCCAATCCCCAATCAGGGCCTCCTTAAAGGACCTGAGGAAGGCTGCAGTGGCCTCTCTCCTTCTCCTCTGGCTGCATGGGTGCAGCACGGCGTCTTCGTCACTGTGTGGGACCTGTGTTTTATTAATTACTAGGATATGTGTTCCAGCATATATTGGTACCTTAGTTTACTTTGCAAGTTGGCTGGTGAGCCCGTTTTCTGTTTGTCTATCATTGGTTGATTAAACCTCATTTTGTGGCTTCAGAGATCAGTTTCCTCTCTCTTTTCTCGTGCCTGGTCGTTTCTGTGTTTTGTTACTCCCCTTCGTACCCCTAGATTTGGAGGGAACGTAACAATTCCAATAATGTTTTCCTTCAACAACAGCTTTTCAAGATGTCAGCACTCATTTACAGGAACGTAAGACAGAAAATTACCCTTAAATGGGCTAGTAGTGGATTTAATGACTTGTGGAATTACGGGCCATTCAAGTGTTCATACTCGGAAATTGATTTAGCTTAAAACTCATCTTTGCTATTGGTTTCAAAGCCCAGCGTTGATCCTTGGGGCTTGGTAGTAACATGTGCTCCACACAAATTGCATAGTAGCTGTCAGTTGTTTGACTAAAGTCAATCATACCAACAACTGTTGAATAAACTGTGGAAATGTAGCAATCCAACTTTTGATGTTACTAACTGGCTGCTAGCAAGACAGCTGGCTGGGCAAAAGGTTGCTACTCGCTACACTTGCATTCTTTGTAGCTAGCTATAGTGTTTTCCAAGCTAATAAGCTAACCAACAAGCCCTTCAAGTTGTCAATCAGTCACCAAACAACCAGCAGCAACTCATCTGTACCACCTCCTATGATGACCAGGCAACTGGCTTTTAAATCCAATAGTTTTACTCTGGTGAGTATATATGTTATTCATTGTCTTCTTCTCTCCTTCCTTTAACCTTCATCTCGCTCCTTGTCTCTTCTTTCATATTTCATTCTTGTTTACGGATGCACAGTCTTTATTCCTCCCCGCTCCAATGAGAGTACTTTAGATTCACATTTAAGGAAACAGGTGTACCAGAAGTCCTTCCATAAGGAATACGACCTACTCAACAGCTTTGTCTTCATTGTTAAATGAAGGGGAAACAGTCTAATGGCGCATTTCCACTACAGCGCGGAGCTCGCTTTAAGCGTGCCGTGTCGTGCCGTGCCCGTTTTTGGTTGCGCTTCCACTAGGCCTAGTCACGGCCCGGCCCGGCCCGGCCCGGGGCCACTTTTTCACCTCTTTTCTGGCCCGACAAAATTGTGGTTCTATCGGGGCCAACAAACAGGGCTGAGTCGGGCTGAGTATGCTAAACTAGAGAGAGGATCGCTGGCAAGGGGGCTACAACTACAACAAGATGGACATATTTGACCGTGATTTAATTGTAATGCACGTTTCAAAATGATGCCGAAGTAACAACATACTGATACCGGTTAGTAAAAACCATGAATTAATGCTTTGGCAAGTTTGCAGACAGACGGCAGGCGAAAAACCTTTTAAACTGTGTGTTTTCTAAATGGAGATTGGCTAAGCTAACGCAGTATATGCTCCGACCGTCCACACTCACAACAACGGCCTATACAGACATAAATAAAGCAGCGACTGTATTCACCATGACACAGGCAGTCTGTGGTT